CCTCCCACTGACGCTCAGTCGCAGCAGCGTGTACCGTCTACAAGATGCAGAAATTCACCAAAGACCCTCAGGCCGGCACCTTCCAAACCCCACTACCCACTTCCATCCAGAAGGACGAGGGGCAGCAGATACATGGGAACACCAGCCCCCTCCAGCTTCCCCTCTGAGCCCCTCCCCATCCCGAATTGGAAATATATCGCCGTTCCTTCGCTGTCGCTGGGTCAAAATCCTGGAATTCCTTCCCTAAGGGCATCGTGGGTCGACCCACAGCAGGTGGACTGTAGGGGTTCAAGAAGGCAGCTCACCCTCACCTTCTCAAGGGGGCAACTAGGGATGGGGCAAGAAATGCTGGGCCCAGCCAGCAGCGCCCACATCCAACAATAAATAAATCTTTTAAAACATGAAATGCGGATTGGATGGGACTGTGAAGGGCTGTTTGCATCCTGGGATAATACAGGAGTCGAGCGGTAATTGCTTCACAGCAACAAGCCCTTCGGCCCACTGAGCCTGCACTGACTCCTAGCCCTTATTTAGAGCCCCCACTCACTGCGCATGCAAGGTTTCTATTCCCCGTCTTCCTCCCGTTTGTTTGTCTGATATGCCTCAGACGTTGCTCATGTGCCTGCTTCTACCACCATGCAGCATGTTCCAGGCACACACCCTCTGGGTGAAACATTTTCCTCGCAATTCTCCCTAAACTTTCCCCCTCTCACCTTGAACCTGTGCCTTCTTGTAGCTGACCTTCCCACCCTGGGAGAAAGCCTCTCACTACCCACCCTATTTAGGCGTCTCGTCCTTTTGTAGACCTCTATCAGGCAACGCCTCCCACACCCCTCAGCCTCCGTCTTTCCAGTGTTTATCTGACCTCTCCTCGTAACTAAAAGCCTCCAGACCAGGCAACATATCCATCCTCAAATTTACTCATCAGGGCACCTATATTTTCATCCAGGTCGTTTATACAGATTACAAAACACAAATGTACCAACACTGACCCCGCTGAAGGTGACTAGTTACTGATCTCCATTTCAAAAATGCCCTTCCACCTTCTCTTCTGTGGCCAAACCAGTTCTGTGCCCATCTAGCCAGCTCACCCCAGATCCCATAAGACTTTTTGCATCCCCATCCTGCAGTGAGCTACCTTATCAAAATGCCTTATTAAAACAGTCCATGTAGACAACATCCGCTGAACCTTCCCTCATCAATTGTTGCCTGTCACCTCCTCAAAAAAACTCAGTCAAGTTGATGAGACGTGACCTTCCCGAACGAACCCTGCGTTGCCTGTCACTAACAAAACCACCCACTTCCAAATGAGGACAAATCCTGTCGCTGCGTCTTATCCAAAGCTCCCCCATCACTGACGTCAGGCTCACTGGCCTGCAACTGTGTGGATTACCTCTTAAGAAAGGAACAAAGTCCCAGCTATTTCCTCCCTTGCTTCCTGGGATAGATCCCGTCTGGCCCCGGGGTCTTGCCTACTTTAATGTATTGCAATACACCCAACAGTTCCTCCTCCATTGTGCCTGAGAGTGTTCACACACCTTTCCCTAACCTCACAATCCCTCACGTCCCTCTCTTTAGTAAGTACCGATGGAAAGAATCTCACCTATTTGCTCTGGCTACACACATAACCTCTGCCCTTGAGTGAGCCTAATCTCTCCCTTGCCACCCCCTTGCTCCTAATACATATATACAAAAGGCCTTGTGATTCTCTTTAACCTGCTGGCCAAGGACATTTCATAGCCCCCCTAACTCCTCCCTTTGAGCTCCTTCCTACTTTCTCTATATTCTTCAAGAACCTGGTCTGTTTTTAGTTGCCTAGACCTTCAGTATGCTTCCTTGTTTTTGACTAACTTGATAATTTCCCCTATTATCCAAGGTCCTCAGATCCTGCCATCCATGTCCTTCATTTTCACAGGAATATGCCTGTCCTGCACTCTAGTCACCTCAGATGTGGATTTACCCTCAAACAGCCGCTCCCGATCTCCATTCTCCAATTCTAGCCTAATGTTATTTCATTCATTCACGGGATGCGGGCATCGCTGGCCCGGCCAGCATTTGTCGCCCATCCCTAACCGTATCGCCGTGGGTCTGGAGTCATGTGTGGCGTCTGCACCAGCTGAGGATGGCCGTTTCCTTCCCTGAAGGGCATGAGTGAACCGGGATGGGGTTTACCGACAACCGGCATTGGATTCAGGGACATCATTAAGACCCTTAATTTCTGTTTTCTAAAGAATTGAATCCAAATTGCGCCCATTGGCCGCGGGCAGGATTCCAACATGAACTGTCTCTGGATTTAACACTGCAGCTAAAAGATCACTTGGTCACCAACTAAACCCCAAATTCTGTCATAGTCCGCCTTATCACCCTCCCACCCACAAATTAACACTTGATTCCAAGCCCACGCTTGCCCTTTTCCACAAATATCCAAAATCCTACAAAATTATGGTCACTGTTCCCAAAATGGCTGCCCACTGATCACGTGACAGGTCCCGTTACCAACGGCCACTTGGGGGGACCCGCCCCGTTGGACGATGGGACGGGGCAAGCCAGAGCCCAATCAGGAGGCGCGCCTAGGGCGAGCCAGCCCTTTTAAAGGCCTCGATGACGTTGGGCGTCGGCGCGTCATCCGAGAGGCGCGGCCCGACCCAGGGGGTGGGCGGGGAAGACGACGTCCGACGACGGAGCGTCATTGGGGTGGAGCGTTACCACGTGAGAGTGGGCGGGGTCAACGACGTTACGCTACTGCGCGATTTGGAGAGGCGCGGCCAGACGGCCGGGGATAATGACGTTCAGCCAAAAACCGTTGGCGGAGGGGCGTGGCATGATTGGGTGAAGGGCGGGGTCAATGACGTTCCTTGTGTCCGCGTTAAAGGAGGGGCGGAATGCGGTGGGGCAATGGCGTCACATGAAAGGTGGGGTCTGAGTCGACGGCTAGAGGGTCGGAGTCTGATTGGGCGATCTGGGGACCACGTGACGTCTGGGCCACCCAGAGGCGGGGCGCCGCCGTGCGTCTATACGTCAGGGGCAGGCGCGGTCGCCTCACATGATCGGGGGCGCGGCGCCGCGGGGCGGGGTTTGCCGCGGATGGGCGGTGCCCGCTGACGACACGTCCGCTGTGGCCGAGCTGATTGGCGGAAGGCGCGACAACGTAAGGAAGGGGGCGGGGCCGGCGACGTTGGAGGTCTCGCCCCTTCGCGTCCGCCTGGCCACTTCCGGTCGGAGCCTGAGGCCTCGGGGTCTCAGTTAGAAGGAGGAAGTGGGGCGGGGGGGGTTTCTCCCCCCTGGGCCCGGCTCCAGCTGCATCTCCATCTCCGTCTCCGTCTCCCGATGGCGGGCCCCCGGGACTACGACCATCTCTTCAAGCTCCTCATCATCGGGGACAGCGGTGAGGAAAGGCCCGGGCGGCTATTCGACTGGGGCAGGCGGCGCCTGCTCCCCCTTCCCAGGGGTCTGTGCGGGTGGAGAGGGGGTTAGAGAGGGAGACTGCATCTGCCTGCCCTCCCCTGCCCCCCCTCCCCTGCCCTCCCCTGCCCTCCCCTCCCCTGCCCTCCCCTGCCCTCCCCTGCCCTC